GCTGACTTTTCCATTCAATTTTACGTAGCCTTGCTTTCACAAAAGTTGTTCTCATCCAGGTGGGATTTTCAATGCAGCAAACGTATTTTTGCTCTAACCATTGACTACGTTATTTTATTTTTAGCATTTAACTATTGTTTCGAGACTACCAGTAAATCAGTAGTATGAGATGTATTCACACAATTTTGTTTAAGCTGATGAACGAGTGGTAGAAGAATTTTCCCATAATCATATGAGTAGAGCTGATGTTTTCATTGAATTTCACATAGCCTTACTTTCACAAAAGTTGTTCTCAACCAAGCACCAATGGACTGTCCTTTCAACCTCGCATCGTTCTTGTCAACAGCGGGAGTCGAACCGTGACAGTGCAGAATGGCAGTTTGACATGTTAAATAAATATCGAGAGCGGATGATGGTGGTTAATAATCCTATAACTACTGGTTTGGTACATATTTGAACAATTGAATTCACAGAAAATAGATACACAAAGAGACTAATATGCTTCAAACTTTTCATATGATGTGAACTAACCAAATCACTTTTAACCGATCAAAAAGCGATTTAGGGTTTATATACAGAATTTATGGATGTGCATGTCGTCAGTTTTTCTCTTTTTGTAAGTATTATGCCCTCCTTGCTCTGATGATGTTTATTATGCAACGCATCATCGGGATTCGAAATAAATTGCCTCGGAAACAGGGTAAACAGGAATGCTACAGTAAGGTCGTCTTTTGGTGGGATTGACTTTCTAACTTCTTCACCAAACACCTTCACTCAAATGTGAAACAAAAGATTGTTCAAAACCAAAATAATTCTTTTCATCGAAGATCCCTCCACACAAATGTGATCAGGCAAAGGTCCGATCTTCCTTGAAACCGACATCTGCCCTGTGCCACAATGGCGCTTGTGGCAATGTGACGTAGTGATTACCCTCTCGAGATGATAGCATGCACTACAACGACCCGGGCTCGAGTCCCGTTGGGAATGCCGATGACGGCTAGGCGAGATCGTAGTGGCCGTCCACTCGATTGTGGATGAAAATACCGTTTGGGTGGTAAGCCTGTGTCTACTTGAATGGAAATTTGAAACTTAATTATCTGGAAAACCGTCGCCATTTACCATCTAGGATGAATACATCGCTTAAAGCAGCGAGGCCGAAGGTATGGACATTTACTAGATCCAGGGTTCGAGGGTGGAAGTGATAATGAAAAAACGGTAGCCAACTTCATCTGGGTCGCCGTGAGGCAACACGACAAAGTTGCGAAAATGAGCAAAATAAACACTTTTTACGCAATTTCATCTCTCATTTCCTCTTCTCCTCAGCTCAAGAGGCCAACATGCCGTCCGAGATTGTTTGCCAGCCGAACGTCCAAGAAGACTGGAGCCAGCCAAACCAGTGGAATAGACTCGAGGCGAGCCATGCTTTCGGTGCGGACGAGGAGGAGATGATCGTAACGCGGCAGGAGCTGGCCGACTCGCCGAAACCGGACTGTGAGACCAACTTGTCGAACACTTCCGACACGTCAATGCTGGCCAGGCTGAAGCATGTGCGCCAGAGAAGGAGTCGCAAGAAGCAGAAGACCCACTTGCCCATGCAATTCTCTGTCGACATCACCTCCTCCCTTCGGCTCAATCGGCCGCATGACGCAAAGATGAAGTCTGCCGGTGACGAAGAACAGCCAAGTCCATTAGCCGATTCTGACTCGCTGGTCCTGACGGAGGAGGACACCACCATCATCACCGTCGAGAGTCTATTGCCATACATTTGAGCGTGTACATGCACTTATGCTAAAGACAACATATCTTGACTACCATCCACCGGTTACAAGCGGTGTTTACTCGACAAGTTTTATGGAGTATGAACGCGCTTGACAACCATATTGCCAAACTCGATGTTGCGTGGAGTTCGACATTTCTGTATGGATGACAAAAACAGTTGGCACAAGAGAGCATGACATGTTGTTAATTAATGTTAGGCATAAGTTTGATGGCACCATTGACATTGCAAGTTTGTATGAAACGATGGGTTAGTTGGGATTTTACTTGATGACATATTATAAGGTACGAATATCAAGATGGTGTGTTCTACTGTATGGTCGAGATCTATTTTCATAGTATGGAAGTTTTTCCCTTTTTTTACGCAACTTGGTCAAAGTGGCGGAAAAACCTACGGAAATGCACCTTGTCCGGAGTTTATTGTATGCAGAATAATTTGCATAGTTGGACCGTAAACTTGGTACATTCGCAGACATTTCACAATTTTACATAAAATTCATGCAAACGTCAGTTATAATCATATCGTTGTGGGAAAATTCGTCTTCTACCAGTCCTTCATCACCATAAACGAAATTTAGTTAATACATCTCATACTACTGATTAAGTGTTAGTCTCGAAATAATACTTAACTGCGAAAAATAAAATAATGTAGTCGATTGTTATAGCAAAAAATCGACAATCCCACCTGGATGAGAACAACTTTTGTGAAAGCAACGCTATGTAAAATTGAATGGAAACGTCAGCTTAACTCATATGATAGTGTAAAAATTATTCTATCAGACCTTCATCAACTTAAACGAAATTGGATGAATACCTCTCATACTACTGATATACTGGTAGTCTCGAAACAATACTTAAATGCGAAAAATAAAATAATGTAGTCGATTGTTATAGCAAAAATACGTTTGCTTAATCGACAATCCCACCTGAATTAGAACAACTTTTGTGAAAGCAAAGTAATGTGAAATTAAATGGAAACGTCAGCTCTACTCATATGATAGTGGAAAAATTATTCTACCAGACCTTCCTTAACTTAAACGAAATCGGGTGAAAACATCTCACACTACTGATATATTTGTAGTCTCGAAACAATACTTAAATGCGAAAAATAAAATAATGTAGTCGATTGTTATAGCAAAAATACGTTTGCTGCATCGAAAATCCCACCTGGATGAGAACAACTTTTGTAAAAGCAAAGTTATGTGAAATTGAATGGAAACGTCAGCTCTACTCATATCATTGTGGAAAAATTTTTTTTCTACCAGTCCTTCATCACCTTAAACGAAATTGCGTGAATACATCTCATACTACTGATTTACTGGTAGTCTCGAAACAATACTTAAATGTGAAAGATACAAGTTAGTTAGGAGGTTGTTTCACCTTGTCTTCGCAACTTGGTCATGTTGGCAAGAAGACTTAAAGGAACACACTTAGTCCGGAGTCCATTGTATGAATGATCATTTCCAAAGTCGGACCGTGGACGTGGTACATTGCCAGACGTTTCGCCATTCATAGCAGCACACAACAACTCGTCAAAGAGACAATTGAAGCCGATCCTTAGACCAAACGTGTGCTAAACACTTGTGTGTGGTATCTCCTTTCCTGCCCTATGCCATTCACACTTGCCATATCCTCCCCTCACACCTTCACTGTTATAATTTGTAGGCTGCTCATTTCGATGTGGTTTCGTGTGCTCGTTTGAGCAGCATTCATTAAAACCCTTCACATTCCACATTGTCATTAACAAGCAACGCTGTTATTGTGCGTCAACCTACAAACGTTGTGTTTCAACATTGAACCTAATCAAAGCAAACAGTCCCACAACATTTGTGGGACTTGCTGCCATTCTTGGACACACGAAAGTCACGGACTTGGCATTACTGATAGAAGCGCGAGAGGTACG